AAGGTGGGGCGAGGGGCTCTGAGGCCCGGGTAACCCAACACCCCCGGCCCGGCCTGAGGTCTCTGAGGTTAAGAGGAGAGGAGAACGCATCGGCAGAGCGCAGGAATTTTGGGGACAGAAGCTGTGGGGCGAGATACAATCTGGACACTCCGGGGACTGTGCAGCTGGCCGAGACAGATGGGAAGGATGAGCTGGAGGGCTGCGAGCAGGGCCTGAAGAGAGCAAGCTGGAGCCGGGGCGGGCTGAGGACCGAGGGCTGGAAAAGAAAGTCAGGCTGTGCGGACGGCGAGCGCAGGGGTGTGCGGGGATCTCGAACCACTAAGGTCAAGGCTGTGGTTGGGAGGAAAGAAAGACAGGATGGGGGCGGGCGGGACAGCCCTGCCCAGCCCTCCCCTCCCCAGGCCCCTCCCCAATTGGAAAATAAATTCTAGGAAGTGGGATTTGGGGGATAACCGGTTCCACCCTACTTAAGCATTTGGTCAGGAGGTCCTGCTGAGGACGGACTAAGGGCTGCCTGCCCAGCACCATCAGGGGTCCCGGGACGGAGCGAGGACAGCCAGCTCACTGGGGCCTTGGGGACCGGCCACTCTGATGTTGAGCAAGGCTGAGCCCTTTCCTCCCTACAGTTCCCTGCTCGGCTGAATGGTTCCAGCCTTGTGCCTGGGCCGCCACCCCGCCTGCCCTTCAATGACCCGTTCTTTGTGGTGGAGACGCTATGCATCTGCTGGTTCTCCTTCGAGCTGCTGGTGCGCCTGCTAGCCTGCCCGAGCAAGGCCATCTTCTTCAAGAACGTGATGAACCTCATCGATTTCGTGGCCATCCTGCCCTATTTTGTGGCACTGGGCACCGAGCTGGCCCGGCAGCGGGGTGTGGGTCAGCCGGCCATGTCCCTGGCCATCCTGCGGGTCATCCGGTTGGTGCGTGTCTTCCGCATCTTCAAGCTGTCCCGGCACTCGAAGGGCCTGCAGATTCTGGGTCAGACGCTTCGGGCTTCCATGCGGGAGCTGGGCCTCCTCATCTTCTTCCTCTTCATCGGGGTGGTCCTCTTTTCCAGCGCAGTCTACTTTGCTGAAGTTGACTCTGTGGAGACCCATTTCACCAGCATCCCCGAGTCCTTCTGGTGGGCTGTGGTTACCATGACCACGGTTGGCTATGGAGACATGGCACCCGTCACTGTGGGTGGCAAGATAGTGGGCTCTCTGTGTGCCATCGCCGGCGTGCTGACCATTTCCCTGCCTGTGCCTGTCATTGTCTCCAACTTCAGCTACTTTTACCACCGGGAGACAGAAGGCGAGGAGGCCGGGATGTACAGCCACGTGGACACACAGCCCTGTGTCAACCTGGAGGGCAAGGCCAATGGGGGGTTGGTGGATGGAGAGGTGCCTGAGCTGCCGCCTCCACTCTGGGCCCCCCCTGGGAAACACCTGGTCACCGAAGTGTGAGGGGCCATTGAGGTCTGCAGGACCTCGTGTCTCCCTGGAGGAAGGAAGGGGGAGGGAGGCAGGGGAGGGGATGGGGTTTAGGAAGGACTAGGCTAAGTGGTAACCAGTGCTGTCTTGTTGGGTCTGTAGCTGCTATGGGTACCTCCCGAAGGAGCAATGAATGCCAGTGGGTTTGTGTTGAGTCGAGAGGTGGCCCCATCGGTTAGTATTGCATTGTGTGTGCCAAGCTTGTGGGCCTTTTGAGGTAGTGTTGAGATAGGTTTGGTCACATCCAGTTGGGGGTTTCTTAGGTCCACACTAGGTGGGGTGGGGTGATGAGTCTGGGTAAGTCTTCTCCAAGTGCATCAGGCAGCGTTCTGTGGCCTTGAGTCTCAGCGGGCCATGTTGGGTCAAGTCAGGTGGTCACTTAAGGGCATATCGAGACTGACCGCGTGGTTGTGTGCGGTGTCATGAAGCCACGTGGACAACTGTGTGGCTTTGTGTTTTTTCTAGGCCCGTGTTGTTTTAGGTTCTGTGAACTTGTGTAGGAATACAGAGTCAGGTAAAAGAATTCAAGCTTTCTAGGTGGAGATGGGTGAAGCAGGGTTGGAGTGTCTGACAGGACTCATCTTTCAGGTTCTATGAAGTCCAGTTGTGTAGACTTCTGTGACTCGGAGTTCTTCAGGGACACAGTGAGCTGGGTTGAGATATAGAAGCATGTGAGTCTGGTAAAGTCAGTTCAGTAAAGTCATAGGACTGCTGGGTCATGGGGCCATTGTGTGACCCCACAGGAATGTTGGGTTGTGGTCCATCAAGCCCTGTGAAGTGGTTTTGCTGTTTGCTGGAAGCACCAGGACCCAAGGATCACAGCCCTGGGCAAGAGTCACAGACTCTGCTACTGCAGAGGTGGGCTGGATTCTGAGCAGTGGAGTTAGGGTTCATCCACAGGGACCTAGAAAGAGAGGCGCTCCTGCCACTTACCCCACTTGAGCTTCATTTTACCCATCAAATCCCCACTCCATCTGGTCTACTCAGTGGTTAGCAAGGAGACATGGAAACATGGAGGCCAGAGAAGAAAGAGAGGGACAGAGACGTGCTACGTCCAGACATGATGGGAAACAAAATCAAAGGGAGACCCAGAAATAAAGAGAGACAGAGACCCAGACAAAGAGAGACCAGAAGAGGTTCAGAGAAAAGGGACAGAGACCTGGAAAGAGGGAGGCAGAGACCCAGAGAGAGAGAGAGAGAGGGAGAGGGAGAGGGAGGAGGAGGAGGCAGAGTCTCAGAAGGGGAAGCTGAGATTCAGAGAGGGGACAGAGACCAAGGGTGGGAGGTGGAGACCCAGCGGGGATGTCGCACCCAGACAGATGCCAAGACAGCAGAGTTGGAACCCGACCACAGGGCCCCAGAAAAAGAGAACTAAAAAGGAAAAAGGCAGAAAAATTCAGTGCCCTGAGTTCTCTGAGTCACAAAAGGATCCCAGTCCGGGGCATCACTGAGCACTTCTGGCCCAGGGGTCACCATGTTTCCAGGGGGAAACCTGAATCTCAGCAGGCCCATGGCTTCCCAAGGTCACACGCAGTCGCAGGCCAGAACTTGTGGCAGGCCGCCTGACTCCACGTCTCCACAACCTAGTGAGGCCGCAGCCTTCTGTCTTATAGACAGGAATCCGATGCTAGGAGGGGACAGGGGAAGGTGTCACCCAAGGTCACAAAACCAAACATTTCAGAGTCTTTCAGTACTAAATGGCATTTAGAAGAGGAGGAGGAGGAGGAGGAGGAGGAGGAGGTTACGATCACTAACAAATATAGGGCTTCCTACGTGCCAAGCATCATTCAAGGCACTTGTATTAACTTATTAAAACCTGTCCAGTGGTTTACAGTGTGTTGTTATTATTTTAAGCTCCCCTCCTGCTGTGGTCATAGAAAACCTCAGAGGCCCATTGTGAAAGACAGGGTGAGGGTGATGAAGAAGGGACACACCTCCCACTTAGCCCCAGTGAGCAAAACCACAGTGAAAGAATTCAGTTTGGAGATCCCAAATTTAATCCAGCTCCCTTTTTATACAAGGAGAAAGGAGGTACAGGTTGTGGGAAGAGTTTGATAATGGTTGAAAATAATACAACCTTTAGCGGGTCAGCTTCTCTCCGAGAGGGAGAGGGGCCACATTCTGAGCCCTGTCTCTCACAGGGCCAGCGACGAGGCAAGTCCTGGGGTGCAGACTCCAGCAGAGACCCACAGAAGTGGGGATGGGGACAGAGAGCCAAGCCCACGCAGGGGAGAGGAACCAAGGTCGAGGGAGGGGGACAGAGGGTTGGGAGAGTTGTGACCTGGGAGAGGACGGAGACCCAGAGAGAAGGGACAGAGGTTGTTGCTGGGTTCCTCTCCTTTGAACATTCATCCCTGAAGCTGCAGGATCCCCCGGGTTGGGAATGGACTGTGTGCCGGCTGGGAAGACTGGAGAGGTTAGAGAGGTGACCAGAAGAGACACCCACGCCTGGGAAGTGTGCTTTCCCCACCTCCCGTAAACAACTGGAGCCGCCTTCTGTGTAGCCTTGGCTGGGGCGGGGAGGAAGGGGAACACCCTAATCCGGGGACACCCTTCCTGCCACCTTGCCACACTATATTTAGGCCAGATGACCCCCAAGGCAGGCATCAACTTTCCTGCTAAAAATAGCTCAGGAGGAGGGGAGCGGGTCGCAGGGTGGGGGTATGGTGGGGTAAAGGGCCCTGCCACGGAGGGGCTGCCCCAGGACTCCTTTCTCAGGGTCTCCGTCCCTCCGACTGATGTTCAGTCTCCTCTCTTTTGCCTGCCCTCTCTTTCTGAGTCCGTCCCTTTCTTTCCCTCTAGGTTTCTACCCCTTCTTTCTCTTGGTTTCTGTCCCCTTTCCTCTGCTCCTGTGCTTCTCCCACGGTGACTGCCACCGTTCGCGGATTCCCTAGACAGTCTTCTGTCCGAGTCCGGTAACACCTTGGGTTTCTCTTATCGGAGCTCAGGACAAGACCCTCCACTCAGTCCCTACCCAGGAAATTCCAGGAGAGAGGACTCTGGGAGAGTCCCTCATCCACTGCCTCGGGGCGGCGGGCGGCCTTATCGCTGCCCGAGCCCAGCTGGTTAATGTCTGGCGGGAGCTCCTGGGAAAGTGGGGATGAGAGCGGAGGGTGGGAATCTGCCCCGGGATTGACACTGAATTGGCCAAAGACTCCACAGGAATCTCAGGACTCCTGAGCCCATGGGAGGAGGGATGGGGGCCTGGGTGAACGGGTTCGAAGGAGGAACGGCGGGCGGCCTTATCGCTGCCCGAGCCCAGCTGGTTAATGTCTGGCGGGAGCTCCTGGGAAAGTGGGGATGAGAGCGGAGGGTGGGAATCTGCCCCGGGATTGACACTGAATTGGCCAAAGACTCCACAGGAATCTCAGGACTCCTGAGCCCATGGGAGGAGGGATGGGGGCCTGGGTGAACGGGTTCGAAGGAGGAAAAGCC